ATTTCTCAAATGGTGATGTTCCTGTAACTCTGTCTACCCAAGACATTGTGTCTGTCCGCTTCTCCTGGCTGCAATCTGTCTCCATATAGGAATTTTCTAACCCCCACTAAATGTAATGTCATGCAGTCGACTCAAAGGGAAAGGTAAAAGGATTAGTAGATTGATCGATGAAAGATATTAATGCTCTTTCATGTTGGGTTGAAGAAGGATTTGAAGTCATCAGGAAAGAGGGTAGCAGGAGAATAGACCTCAAGTATTCAAAAGACTCTCTGGATTAAAATCCTATTAAATTCACATCAGCTTCTCCAGGAGGCATTTGAGAAGGTTGGGGTTTCTTTACCATGTCGCCGTAATTAACCTTCTCTTAAGCTGTTTTGGGTGGGGAACTTTCGCAATTAAGAAACTAAAAAACTTTTATTTTCTATCACCCACATGGCTTTTTGAATGGTTTAAAAACTAGAGTGGAAAGTGGTTTACCTTAATTGATTTCTCCTACTTGAACCTGCTGTCAGACTCGCCTCTGAGATCTGTGCCCCTCAATAAAAAGGGCATTTTGTCCAGAGAAAGAATCAAAGGTTCAGATCTACTACAATGCTTTTCTTCCTCTGACTGTTCTCCCACTGAGTCCTATAGAAAGGGCGATTTTGCAAAGAAATTGTTGTTCTCCTTAAAAAGACCTGTTTCTTGGCCCAGACCCCACTTCATGGAAACTGTCACAGAAACCCAAAGAGCCTTTCTTGGCAGATGCCAGGTTGTGGCATGTCAGCATCAGCTGTCTCATTACAGGTAAGTTAAGGTCAGGTGGGGGCAGCCACTATGGGATTGGGTGACCAATCATCTGAAGAAATAAGGGTCACAAAACACATGTTGTTTTAAAGGGTTGGTCTTAGCCAGTTTTTCTTCCCTAGGGAAAATGTCATCCCACTTCAAATATCAACAACCTTGCTATTTTGAGCAAAGACGTGAGAATCCTTGCTAGGGAAATGAACCTGTGCTTCCTCCAGGTTCCAATAAGCCCAACTTTTATTACATGATGTCTCTATGTAAAAACATTAGCTTTTTAGGCTGGGCACTGTGGCTTACACTTGTAATCTCAGCACTTTGGGAGGCCGAGGTGGGCAGATCACCTGAGGTCAGGAGTGCAAGACCAACCTGACCAACATGGCGAAACCCTGTCTCTACTAAAAATATAAAAATTAGCTGGGTGTGGTGGCATGCACCTGTAATCCCAGCTACTCAGTGAGGCTGAGGCAGGAGAATTGCTTGAACCCAGAAGACGGAGGTTGTAGTGAGCAGAGATTGTGCTCCCGTGTACTCCAGCCTGGGCGACAGAGTGAGGCTCCATCTCAAAAAAAAAGATATCATTAGCTTTTTTTACTTTCATACTTCCTGGATTCTCAGAGCTAAACACAAGCAGGGAACAGGCCGAATTGCACCAACCTTGTCTTTCTCACAGCACCTGTTCCTCTATTCTACTTACCTGGGTGTGTCTTCTCCTTTGCCAGGCTGCGAGCCCCTTAAGAACAGGCAGTTTGACCCTTTCTCTCCTAGCACTGTGCCTGGCACAGAGCAGCTCTCAACACACCCTTGCCCGTGACCCCCTAGAACCCATTCTTTGCCTTAAGGCAAGTCCCAGCCTCTGTTTTTACAATGAAAAATGAAGGAGTCTGTAGGACTGCATGACCTCTCAGGTCACTTTCCAGTTGCCAGACTCTCTGAAAAAGGAGCTGTGTACAGGCTGCCTTTCGGTAGCTCTTGTGCTCATGCCAGTGTTTATAACGATAATGATGATAATGGTAAGAATAGAGAATATCTTTAAGTCCTTAAACATGCTCTGCTCTGTTCCCAGTGCTTCACTTGTGTGATTTCACCAATCCTATAAGGCAGAGGCTGTTGTGACTCCCCTTTGATACAGTGGGAGACTGCAAGGGTGAATGATTTGCTCAAAGTCACACCAAGTGTGGTCACCGTGGTTCCTGAGTCTGCACTCCTAACTCCCCCTCTATGTCCCCGCTAAGAACCTCCTTTCTGAGCCTCCAGTTCAGGCTGCCGGCTCTCCAGCTGGTTTACTATATATTCTCTGGCTCCTCCAGGGGCTGGCTGTCTGCCTGTCAATTGCTTTGATTTCCTTCCTCATGGCCCCAGCTGGCCCAGCCTCCACCTGCTCCAACCAGAGGCTGAATTGCCCCAGGATCTGGCAGGCCCTTTGTCCAGAGGGTCTGCAGCTCCTGTTGAGAGCAGGTGGCCGGAAAAAAGCAAGAGAGGGCAGTCATTGGGGAAGCAGCTTGGGAGGCTGAAAAGGAAAGAAGGCAGATAGGAATGATCCAGGGAGGAATTCCCAGTGCCTGCCCTCCAGGGACCTGAGCCCATCTGCATGGCTGCCCACTCTCTGCAAAGCCAGAACACTGGGGTGGGCTTTCCTTACCTTGGTTATACCTACAGGAGAATGAAGGCAGAGATGAGTCTCCTAGAAAGACCACGGAGCTACCTTTTGAAAAATGTTTCAGTGGCCTATTTTACGGGGTGGATCTTGTCTCATTTTAAAGCATCTCTGCCTATTCAAATGCTTCTTTCAGCTATGGTGCATGAATTCCTCTTGACCCAAAGTCTTTCCAAGTGTTTTGGAAAGAAACTCGATTTTACAGTAGAAAAAAATAACTTTTTAAAGAAGTTCATCTCTGCAATCACATTCTTAAGTATTTACTTGAATCAGTTGAAAACTTATCTTCACACAAAAACCTGCACATAAATGTTTATTCACAGCTTTATTCATAAGCATCAAAAATTGGAAGCAACCAAGATGTCCTTCAATAGGTGAATGCATAAGCACACTGTGATACATCCTGACAATGGAATATTATTCAGGAACAAAGAGAAATGAGCTATCAAGTCACAAAAAGACATGGAGGATTTGTAAATATGTATTGCTAAATGGAGGAAGCCAGTCTGAAAAGGCTACATACTGTATGATTTCAACTATGTGACATTCTTGAAAAAGCAAAACTATGGAGCTAGTAAAAAAATCAGTGGTTGCTGCAAGGAGTGTGTAAAGAAGAAGGAATGAATAGCTGGAGCATGGGGCATTTTTAGGGCAAGTAAACTATTCTGTATGACATTGAAATGGTAGATACATGACATTACGCATTTGTCAAAATCAATAAAACTACAAAACACAAAGCATGATCCCGAATGTAAGCTATGGACTTCAGTTGAGATAATATATCAATATTGGCTCATCAATTCTAAAAAAAAAAAAAAAAAAAAAAACCACACACAAATGCAAGATGTCAATAGAAGAAACTGAGGTAGGGATGAAAGACCTGGGAACTCTCTGTACTTTCTGTGCAATTTTTCTGTAAGCCTAATATTGCTCTTTTAAAAAGCCTATTAAGGTCAGACGCAGAGGTTCACGCTTGTAATCCCAACACTTTGGGAGGCTGAGGCGGGTAGATCACCTGAGGTCAAGAGTTCGAGACCAGCTTGACAAACATGGTGACAGACCGTCTGTACAGAAAATACAAAAATTAGCCGGGCTTGGTGGCGCATGCCTATAATCCCAGCTACTCGAGAGGTTGAGGCAGGAGAATGGCTTGAACCTGGGAGGTGGAGGTTGTGGTGAGCCGAGATCGCACCATTGCACTCCAGCCTGGGCAACAAGAGCAACACTCTGTCTAAAAAGAATAAAATAAAAATAAAAAATAAAATAAAACGTCTATTAAAAAATGGTTCACTTGAATATACTTGAGGCCCTAAAAAGCAGTCACTTTGCTCCTCTGTATTGCTTTCAGGCTAATCATAATCATAATAACAACCACATGGTATCATTTGTCCAGCCCTACAGTGCACCAGGCACTGTTCTAAGCACTGTTTATGTATGACTTCATTTAATCCTCACAAAAGCCCTATGAAAAATTGAGGTCAGGGCAGTTAAAGCAATTTGTCAGGGGTATCAAACTCAATAGGTGGAAGAAGCAGGACTTGAACCACAGGTTATTCAACTTCAAGCCCACACTTATAATTGCTACACTCCATCACCCTTCCCCGCCCCCACCCCCAATTCGGAGAGGATGGGTAGCATTTCAGTATGTAAATAATGGGACAATGCAAGTTTTGACAACTCCTTTATTAGTCATTCACTTGGAAATATGTGCAGAGCACCTGTGTACCAAGCAGTGTACCTGAGGATACAAATATAGGTAAGAGTGTACCTGCCCATAAGGAGCTTGTATGAGTAGAAGAGACAGATAAGAAGATGGAAAATGACAATGAAAGCCCTAGTAACAAGAAGCCAGGTAGCTCCAGCTCTGGAATTGGCATGTTATGAACTGGAGCTATATGGGGAGATCCCTCTGGTTGGAATGGAGAGATGCAAAAATCCATTCAACCATCTTGAGTTGATTTTTGTATATGGTAAAAGGCAGTGGTCCAGTTTCAATCTTCTGCATATGGCTTTCCAGTTATCCCAGCAGCATGTATTGACTAGGAATTCCTTTCCCCATTGCTTGTTTTCATGGGTTTTGTTGAAAACTAGATACTACTTATTGGGTATTACACTGATTACGTGGGTCACAAAATTATCTGTACACCAAATTCCCATGACACACAATTCACCCATGTAAAAAACCTGTACCTATAACCCTGAATTTAAAATAAAAGTCAAAAGAAAAAAAAGAGAGAAAAATAAAAATAAATACAAATTAAAAGCTTATAAAGTTAAAAAAAGAGAGAGAGAGAGAAAAAAGAAAAGAGAAAAGAAATAGCTATCTTTAGGAAGGGGAAAAAGAACTAAAATTCATTATATGTCTAAAATATACCACGCACTTGCCTAGGTCCCCAACCTATATCCGCTCAATCCCCCAAACAGTCTTCCAAGGCATTATTTCCAATACATATATATTAAATATACATATATTTAAATATGCTGTTAAATATATATCTTGCTGTTATTTTATGAAGACAGTGTGGAGTTACTTATGTTGCAAAATTCCTCTAGTTCTTACCTGTGTCTTTCTTCTTATCTCGTGAAAGCTCATGGACAGTGGCCCCAATGTCGTGCCTCAAGATCTTGATGATGTTTGTCAGAGCAGGCAGGCTACGTTTATCCAAATGGGTGAAAAATTCATACTCATCTTTCTTTAAACGAGAAGGTCTAGATTCAATGTGGGTCAGGTTTATATCATTCTCCTAGAAGAGAGAATGGGGAGGGTGAGGAGACAGTCACTGGAACTAACGCAGGTCAAAGATGCAGAACCAGTACAATAAAACCTAACACAACAAAATGGAGAGTTCACGAATATAATTGTTTTTATAAGAGTAGAAAAGAGTCCTTAAATTTGCAAAAGTTGTTTACTTTTTCTTCTTTAAAACCAAGTACTAAGTGGCAGGAGGTGGGGCAGTTAGTTCACATGTCACAATTTAATCACATGAAAATCTGCTAAAGGCCTAGAGTTGCCACTGTAAGATTTTGATTTGGTTAAAATATTTAAGACAGTTGTTGCCAAATATATTTACATAGGAAACCTCCCCACTTCCCAAATGAAATTCTATGGAATTACAATAAATAAATAAGATAGAAGCAACATTGTTCTGCTTGAATAGGGGGATCAGACTTACTTGATTTATATCTAACATCTAAATTTATTGCTTGTGAGACAATGTACTTTCATGTTTCTAATCCTCAGTTTTTCCATCTGTAACTTGCTGGTCTTAATTATACCTGCTTCGTAAGTTCATTGGGAATGTTGATGATATGATACATACGCACCACTTGGCACATAGTAAAAATGATCTAATATAATTACCACTAATATGTTTATATAGGCCAGGTGCCGGTGACTCATGCCTGTAATCCCAGCACTTTGCGGGGCGGAGGCAGGTGGATTGCCTGAGGTCAGGAGTTCGAGACCAATCTGGCCAACATAGTGAAACCCCATCTCTACTAAAAACACAAAAGAATTAGCCATGCATGGTGGTGTGTGCCTGTAATCCTAATCCCAGCTACTTGGGAGGCTGAGACAGGGGAATTGCTTGAACCAGGGAGGTGGAGGTTGCAGTGAGCCAAGATCGTGCCACTGCACTCCAACCTGGGCGACAAAGCGAGACTCTGTCTCAAAATTAAATAAATAAATAAATAAATAAATAAATAAATAAATAAAATAATATGTATATATATAATTACTTTCCATTCAAGCTATTCAATAAATACATGCATTTGTAGCACCCAACAGTGGCCAATGATCCTTCTAGCAGCTTGGAATCCATCAGTGAACAAAATAAAGATGCTTTCCTTTATAAAGCTTACATTGAAGTTGAGGGGACACAAACAACACACAGAAACTCATTTGTGCATGTTATAATGAGAAGGTCTAAGGCAACAATGCAAGGCAGAGCAGGGGGAAGCAAATGGGCATTCCTGAGGCAGGGTGAGGGCAGATTGCAGGACTAAATAGGGCAGACACATGGGGCCTCATTGGGATGGCACGATTTATGTACAGGCCTAAAGGAGTTGAGGGAGGTGAAGGCCGGAAGATGGCAGCGTGCCTGGCCTGTTGAAGAGACAGCCACAAGGTGGGTTGACGAGAGTGGAGGAGGTCAAGGGGAAAATAACAGGAGACAGTGTCAGAATAAACACAGGGCATTGCAGGCCATTTTAAGGACTATGGTTTTGATTCTGAAAGAAATAGGGGTCTTTGCAAAATTTTGAGCAGAGGAATAATATGATCTCATAGGCTTAAAAGGATCAGTCTAACTTCTATGTTGAGAACAAACTTTAAGGGATAAGATAGACCAAGCAAGGCCTGTCAACAGGCTGGTGCTGAAATGCAGACAAGACGTGAATGTGGCTATGTCCACGTTGGTGGGAGTGGAAGTGGTAAGAAGACATTATATTCAGGACGTCTTCTATAATCTCCTCAAAAGGATCAAAATTATCCAAGGATATGAGAAAAGTTTGTGGGTAAGAAAACGGAAAAAAAGTTCATCACATTCCATGTCACCCTCAGATTTGACTATTACACTGATCACTATGTGGCTAAATAAAGAGAATTTCAGGAATCCAATGGGAAAGAAAGAGCACATCATATCTCCCTGAGGAATATCATCTTTAAATCAAATATTATGGGCCAAGCTAGGTACTTGGACAATGCAAGGATGAATAAGATATTTCCCGCTTTTACATTAGCCATTCCTACCCTAATCAGACCATTTTTAATGGCTGCCTGATGATCTGCTGCATAGATGCAGTCATAAATTCTTTAACCAATACTCTAGTGATCGATATATGTGCTGCTTCTTGTTTTTCTGCCACTAGAAATAATGGACAACATTATACATAAATTTTTGCCTACTTGTCTGATTTCTCAGAATAAATGCCTAGGGGTCAAATTGTTTAATCAGAAACTACCCTTTAAAGATTATTTATATATTGTCCCATTGCCTTCCAGAAAGACTATACTCATCTCTTCTATCTTTCCACTAGAAGATCCATGTTTCCCACCTGTACTAACTTTAAGAATTTTCAATATTCTTGACTTGACAGATGAAAACAGCAAATAACTCATTGCTCAATTTTTTTATTTAATTGCTGATGACACTAAACATTTTTCCTAGGTTTAGTAGCCATTTGCATTTTTTTAATGAATTATCAGTTTATACCATTTTTTATCACAGAGATTTTTTACTGATTTGTAATAATTGTTTATATTTTCATATTATTCTCATATGTGTGTGTGTGTGTATATATATATATATATATATAAAATTCAAACTGACATTTATTCTTGACTATTCTTAAACACCTCAGTGAAAAAACAATTTTTAAAATGCTCTCAAAAAGTGTTGGAACATCACAAGTATAAATAGTCTTAGAGTTTTTAAGGAATGTAGCTGTGATGTATTATCAGAAAAAGGCAATAACTTCTTTCTCAAAGGTAATAACTGCCTGCGTATCAGAGTTTGCTTGATGTCTCAAATGCTCCCTAATTGTAGAACCAAATTCCTTGGACTCTTTTGGGTTACTATGGCATCTGCTGAGTGCTAGATGCAAAATCACCAGACATAGATAAGAGGCACAAGGTGGGTTGTATAATTTGTCCAAATGCATCCCCTAAAAAAATTAGGCTGGATGACTCAAGAGTTTTATTTATATCTGTCTTGTCCCTTTCTGAGAATAGGCTGTGGGGGACTGGAGCTCATTTGTAATTATGCCACAGTTTTCTTGCAAAACCTGGACTCTTTACACTGGTTCTGAAGCAGAAATGAACTAAAAAATGAATGTTGGTCAGCAGCAACACTTGGCAAAGTCTACTCAAATGCACTGAACCCCCAACACAAAGATGTCAACTTGCAGTCAGTGTTTTCCTGCTGGAAGCACTTGCTAAGTATGGAAACACCCCACTCCCACATTCGTGCGAAGAGCTGGGAAGCTGCTTTCATTAAATGCCATAAAAACGTGAAAATAATGATTATTTACTACAGCTTCTCAATTTCAATGTCTTTAGATAGTGATATTTTAGTTCTTATGGTTATTACAAAAAAAGTCATTTATTTTAGTTGGTCCTCTAACATAAATGCCTGGCAAATTATCTGCTACTTAGTCAGAAAGTGTGTGATTTCCTTGGTAATGCTACTTATTATGGAGAAAAACAAGGAGTATTGTATACACTTTATTAAAACAAACAGATAATAGGGGTTACTGCATATTTAAATGGACAGAAAGTATCTGAAAATATAACTTAAATAACTCTAAAATTTCAAAAAATTAAAATTCACTGAACTTGTGGTTGAAGAGGTTTATCTATTGCCTGAATTGTTAATGGTATAAAGTTCAAAAGAACGGTAGTGATGCCTTTTCATACTTAAGTATCACTTTATAGTACAGAATTCTTTTCTGTGACCATCCCAACAATCCTTTGAAAAGGTTAAGGGAGACATAAAAAGATAAAATCAGAGATGAAGGTGCTTTGCCTTAAGCAGCTAGAGAACAAGGCCCATTTCTTTTCCTAATCTCAGAGTCATTAGTTTTTTAACCACACTGCCTTTCCTGCCAGGCATACATACAGTGAGCACTCCACTAAAATACTAACTTTTATTATTATTACTACCATTATGTCAAACACAAATAATTAAAACCTCTGGATGTAGTAAATACAATAAGTAACCTCAAACAGGCTCATGGTGCAGCCATTATTTATGGCTTCAACTCCAGGCAACACATCCTTGAGGACTGTGGCTAGGGAAACCCACAGAGGGGCCCCCATTAGGGAGAGAGAAAATAGTGGGGAGGTAACGCCAGAGAGACAGCGGCAGGTCTGAAGCTTTCTCTGGCAGAGATTACTTGTTAAACAAAGCAAAGAGCAATGTCATCCTTCTTGGCTCAGGAAGAAAGAGAATGGGTAGGTTCCACCTACTATTTACCTAAGATGAAGCTTCAAAAGAAGACATAACCAATTCCTGCCTTATGCAGAGCTGAGAGCACAGCAAATTCAAGAACCAAGAATGGACACACCTCTGGCATGCTTATTTGTGGGAGAGTTCGGGAAGGAAGGGGAGCAGGGAAGAAGTTCTGGGAAGCAGACCATAGGATATAGTGCTCTTCACTCACACCCCACCCCTGGAAGCATCCACTTCCACAGAGAAGTTTCTAGCTTTGAGGATAACAATAAAACAATTTATGTCTCATGACTCAGTTTTTCTAGTGTTAGAGATTTAACTTACGGGAAAATTCACACAGCATTTCACCAAAACTTCTAAGCTAACTAAACTCCCATAATAGAGGAATGATGAAGTGGACTGTGGTATAATCCCACAATGGAAGATTAGGCAATCATTAAAAAGTGAGTAACAAAAACAACAACATGTATTAAAAAACGTGTTGGTAAGCACTTCAAGACCTGAGTGCGGTGGCGGTCTCCAGATGAAGGGCTTAGGGGTGATTTTGTTTCCTTCTTTCTCTTTTTTTAAAATCATAGTTCAACTTTTTTGTTTCCTTCTTTCTCTTTTTTTAAAATCATAGTTCAACTTTCCTAGAGACATTTATTGCTTTTTTTTTTTTGAGACAGAGTCTCGCTCTGTTGCCCAGGCTGGAATGCAGTGGCACGATCTCGGCCCACTGCAAACTCCGCCTCCCGGGTTCATGTCATTCTCCTGCCTCAGGCTCCCGAGTAAGTGAGACTACAGGTGCTTGC